CTGTAGTACGTCTAATTTGATCGAAGTGACAATTTTCAGCATTGGTGTTTAAGAGTGAAACCTACAGTGAAAGTGTTGCTGTTCGCTGTTGCCTTCTGAACAAACATCAGTTTCATTCAGTCTGTGCAGATGCCAACACTTCCTTCATGTGCTGAAAATTCCCCACTTCCTGAAAAAGCGTCCCTCCAGGGACTTACCATTTTCACCGAGGGCGGGTTCTCGAACGGGTGAACTTTTTAACCCTGGGACTGACTTCAATTTTCCCCGCCGAAATGCCACAGCCAGAGAAAAGTGTTGGCCCTCGCATCGGTTTTATGAATGGAACTAGCTGGTGTTTGTGATCAAGGAAATCAATAATTGTTTCTCATGTTGGGTTGTCACCTCTTGGAAAATGGTACGGTCGACTTCCTGTGTGTCGGGCACACTGTAGGTTGGGACATCCTCTCTGTAATAGACATCAAATGTGTTTGTCCCATCCATAACATTTGCGCTAGTAGTGCCTCAGCTGCAGAAATATCCAGATTACATATTGTTTCGATTTTATTCGGAAATTGTAGAGAAGATGGTGAATCTGATTGATGAGTAGTTGAACTTGGTGACTTGCTCTTCTAAGATCTACTTGTAGGTCTTGTTTTGGTAGAAGTTCTTTATTTGTTGTCAAAATGGCTGCTGCCTTTACATGCATACTCTAATAGTATTTGAGACATCAACTATCAAGTTCTACTGGTCAAGGTAAGTTTAGTTCCCCAAATGATTATTAATAATTATTGTGTATTGTTGAATTGGCTATTAGTCTAAAGCTTGATTGTTTTCTAATCAACCGTGGTTACAGCATATTTCGGCAGTAAAGGATTTCAGGAGTTTGCAATAGCACATGTCTTGGTTTGTGAAAGAACATTTCAACTTTTCAAAATTTTTGTAGCTGAAGAATTTCTCCTTTTGTGAGAGGGAGCATTCTAGCCGGAACATTGTGGCTGTTTGCTTCACAGGCATTATCAGAAGCGGTTGCTCTGGGGACAGTTATTTATAATGGCCGTTTCATTTCTCTCCCACCCATGTTGCTACAGTTACAGCAAGAGAACATGGCACTGCTGCAGCAGATTGCGCAGTTTGACACGGTGATCAGCCGGCGGGAACGTGAAAACGAGGAAGGTGGGAATTTGCTGAGCATGATGCAAGCCGATGTGGAGCGACTGAACAACGAACGGTAAGTCAGAATGGCAGGCCTGGGTGTTGGCACTGTTGAGATGACTTGTCCTGATATTTCACAGCATTTTGAAAACGACTCTGGCCGGGACGGTCTTTGTTCTTGAGAAAATACATTTCCAATTGTAGGTTTTTCTGTCAGGTGTCTGACTGCAAAGCTGAAAATCATTTTTTAGACAACATACTTGGACGGCAATATGTGTCATGCTGATTAATTTTTTTATTCAAGTAAAAAGGAATAATCAGGATTTTGTTTTTAGGTAAATAAAATAATTGGAGCCACTTTCTGCTTCAGTATGGCCAATTTTTTTAGTGATGCCCACAGAAGCAAATTGAAGACGTAAATTTTATGGTTCAATTTCATGTCACTGAATATAAAGCCATGTACTTGCGCTTTCATGTACACGGCCAGTCTGTCGTACATTCAGTATTGATGTTGAGGTGATTATTGAGCGCTCCCACTT